CACACACTACTGTCGTCTAATACAACCAGTGAAACTTCCCTGGGAGCCAGTAGAAGTTGCTACCTAACTTGTGACTTTGGTAGGTTATGGTAGGTTCATTAGGAAAGGTACGTGTCCCCCTTCAACCATCATCTTTTTGTACCAGCCTTATGAAGTCAAAGGTGGATCATTCATATTGATACCCTCTGGTAATTTAACATAGCTATGGAACATGGCCCATAGAAACAGATGATTTTCCCAACTAGAAACCTCCTTTTATGGTTGGGATTTTCCAGTTCGCTATGTTACTCATAACCTGAGGGTTATAGCAGGTCTGCTTTGATAACCCCCCAAATTTCCCAGGGGGATCATCAGTCATTGAGGCCTTGTGCCTTTGGCCGTTCGTCATGCCTCGGAAACTCTGTGGGCGAAACGCAAGATCTGGGCGCCACGGCCAGGGCTGGAAGATCCGATCCCCAGACTAAAAATGTGAATGATTGATGGTTCAAAATGGAACATCCTATTTAAATGGATGAGAACTGGGGGTACCTCCATTTTAGGAAACCTCCAAGTGAAGGATTTTTTGTTTTTAAGAGGAAGATGAGTCAAAGAGTTTCCGTTGCCATTCAAAGCTGCCACAGAGTATGGATGGAGTACACAATTACATTGAGATTTTCACTGGCAAGACATGGGGAGACTGACCAGCGCGAACGGTGAGACTATACTAGGGCAGGATATCATATCATATCATATATCATATACTCGTATCATATCATATATTATCTATCATCTATAATCTATTGTCTATCATCTACCATCTATCATCTACCATTTATCATCTATTATCTACCATCTATCACCTATCACCTATCATCTATCATAAATCATATCTCATATATATATAGCATATTTCGTATATCACATATCATATCATGTATCATGTATCATATCATATATCATATCACATATCATATCGGATATCATATCATATATAATATCATTTATAGTATCACATATCATATCATATATCATGTCATATCTCATGTCATACGTCATGTCATACATGATATCATAATCATATCATATATCATATATATATATTCATATATAATATAGTGTATATCATTTAGCACATAACATATGTCATATATCATGTATATATGCATATTATATTATTATATCATATCATGGTGGCGACGTATGCTGGCTAAGTTTTGGTTGGTATCATTTCTTTCCTGTGCTCAACATCGGGGATGCCAACGTAATTCATTAAGATAATATTTAACACTTGCGTTCACGCAAATGACTTTGCTGTGCTGTTTGCAACAAAACAAACCTCTTTTGATCTAACAAAGCTATGGGACATAACTATCATTTTAAATAGGTGAGATCATCTACAGCCATCCATAGCTGTATTGTATTATGAGAAGGTATATAATGTAATCAGTACTTCTGAAGGTGTTTGGTGGGTAGAGATCCTGTGATGGCCACAGTGCCAAACATGTGCTGAGAAGACACCAGATTTTGGCACGGTGAGAAACTTGACTGTTCAGATCCCGTTGTAGTTTCACAATGTTTGACATATTTACCATCTGGTAATTTAACATGGCTATTGAAAATGGCCATTTATAGTGAGTTTTCCCATTGAACATGGTGATTTTCCATAGCTATGTTAGTTTACCAGCTGGTAAACCCCAAACTTCAGTGATGGCATCCTTTAAATCCACTGGTTCCATCGTTGGCTTGGAACGAAGTTCCAAGGCGCCTCGACCAGAGATCCGCAACTACTATGCTCAGCGATTGGAGGACGTTGTGGTTGATGGAAACTTCAACCAAAGACGACACAAAAGAAGGCATGACATGGCATGACATCCATGATATGTTGGTATACGTTTAAGGTATTTGTTGTATATGATTGCAAAGTATTTGGAACCATGGTATATCCAGCAAGCCCATCTTGTTGCTTTGGTTCTCAGATTCTCCGCCAGTTTTCCGCCAGTTCTCCTCGAGGACTGGTCCCAATTGCGAGCAGCCAATGAAGTTGCAAACTTTGCCGAGTGTCCTGGATGAAATTCAGTTGATTCCCCAGCAGATGCTGCGAAAATCTCAGGAAATCTAACCTGCCAAGGTCCTAAAAATCGCCCCCGACATCGCCATCTTAAAGAATCTTAAAGAAATATGATATCCTTTACAATTACGTTTAAAAGAATAATAATCAACCCCTTGCGCTGGTTTAATTTTGATAAGCATCATGGAACGACCACTGTCCAGTATACGGGGCTTCTAACTTAGCCTGACCTGATTTCCCTGGTCCCTCTGATCCTCAGGCCGTTGCTCGCGAATGAAGCAGCTTTGCCATAGGCAACTGCGACAAAAAGGCAGCGCGAAGGACGAGCCATGCAGTATGAAGCTGTTGGTACATGGGTCTGCCTCAAAACTAAATGGTGTATCCATGGATCCGCAAATATATTGGTCACATTTGGATATATTTGGTCACTTTATTGGTGCGAAACATTGCGAAACCATAGATTCAACATGTTTTGAGCCAATTCCATATCAACCATTGGTTGCTACATTCTGGTGATTTCATTTTCAATGGCATTTCATTAGTTGTTGCGGGCATAGCTACATTTGAGTTGGTCGAGGTTGGTCTGGGTATGAACTTGTTTTTCCGATGTTTTTCGATGCCACGCGATCGAATGGGTTACCTAAGCAAGAATCATAGGGATGTTCCCGCGGTGATCAGGATACAGTCACCAGCAATGAGCAACATCCCATATGCTCCATGTATGGTATATTTACCTACATTTGCCCTAAAAATCACCCAAATGTAGGTAAATATACCATACATGGAGCATATGGGCATGCCTGAGTCGCCTAATGTTGGCAACATGGGAGGCCCCGAAGAATTACACCATCCAAAACTGCCCCAGTTTGGTTCCAGACATGGCTGGCCGAATCGGCTGGCCTTTCAGTGGCTGAGTGATCGATTTTGCATGTGGCTAAATCTACCAGTCGGAGATTTTAAAGGAGACTGTTCAGTCGACTGAACCCCGCAATTTAAAGATTCAGTGAGTATTCTTTGTCCTCAACGCATCCCGACTGAATCTTGAATCAATTGGTTTAAGGGAAGATCTTAACCGGAAACCATAGTTATTTTCCCATTAAATATGGGGGTTTTCCTGTAAATGTTCCCTTAAACCAATCCATTGATTGAATGGATGCCACCTCATCCCGAGTCTTTTGGGTATTTCTGAAAGTGGGACTACTCTCTCCTAACCATGGCAGTAGACCGTTGGATGATTTGGGGGCACCAACGTTTCTAATAAGATGACATCTGGATACTATATGCGACATTTAGGGGTACCATATATAGTAAAATTTTAAGAATGTTGTACCAGATTGGTACCATAAGATTGATAATGAATCTGGTTGGTGGTTTGGAAATGTTTGGAACATTTTTTATTTTTACATATATTGGGAATAATAATCCCAACTGACTTTCATATTTTTCGGAGGGGTAGGTCAACCACCAACCAGTAATGCTATATTTAGGAAAATGACAATCCGTTTCTCAGCCGGAACTCAGCTCATCCTTGGTGCAGCTGTTGGGCACAGCGCTGATCTTCCCGGCGAGACGCCGCGCCATCGCCATGCGGTGCAACGTGTGGTGGCTGGGCATAGCCCTGGTTGGCTTGGCTAGCAGCAATGAGGCACTGGAGGATGGCTTGGGAGGGATTTTCTTGCAAATATGTATGGGAAAGTAAATTTATGGTTGTTATATGTTGTTATATAGATTTATATAGTATGTTATATATATATATTATATGATATTGAATAATATAATATATATATATACATATTTAATAAGTTGCACACCAGGGTCCTCAAAATTTGGAAGATTGATGAAGATCGGATAGAATTGGTGGGCAGCCCATTACTTAATCGCAAGATCTCAGCTACCGGCTGGCGCCAATTGAGCGTTCCAAGGGCATTCTATGGCATTCTTGAAGATATTCTACAGAGCTAGGATAGATTGTCCCATACCTAACCCATACCTATCTTATTGGTGATAGACATCTATACATATCTATACATATCTATACTGTCATGTTGGTGCGTGATACAAAGCAACTTGCTTGCTGGGACTCCATTTCAGGTTTGCCTTTGGGGCTTGTTGCGCAACGCGCCACATGCTGGCACAGTTTCCCCGACATCGGTATACATAGTTTACATATCTATGTGCTTCTGCTCCAATCTATCTGTTTACCCAATAAGCGATCGGTGATACCCCATGCCACCCACACGCCAGGAAGTTGCATGGATGATTCCCAAGGAGCTTGTTCACTTGCCAGGTGGGCGTTTTTTACCGGCAAGTTCCGTTGTGAATTCAGTGAAGAAACATAATATGAAATTGATCATAGTTATATCACGAAAATATCACTTTCAAAATTTGACATGTTATATTTGATAAATACCAGTTTTAAGGTTCTGGAGTTGTACCCCAACTTCTGGAGCTTCAAAAAACCATGGTCACATCACATCCCTCTCCATGGCCAGGCGACTTGCCCACCAAGGAGTCCAGTGGATACGGATTCGACATATAAACCATCCCCAATGTGGGTGCATTATTGGGTATATACCATGGTATATACCATGGTATACCTCTATTTGGGATGATTTCTTTTCATAGCCCCCATTTTTTGGTTGGTCAAATGAAAGACATAGTATGGTGGACAGTTTTTTGTGTGATGCGCGCAAAGCAGGCCGAAAATTTGTGGCAGGTAATATTAGTAGAGGTGCTGTTTCTAGGTGTAAGATCGCCATACCCTCTATATGGCAAGGGCCAGCTGACAACTTCAAAGCAAGAGTTCTGCAATTTCAATTCTTCAGTTTCTAGTACTGAATCAGTTTCTGAATCCATGATGAATCCATGATTGAATGCTGTTTTTCATCATTTCATTTTTGGGGCCAACCAATCATGTTGAGGATTGTTGAGCCACACTGTAACAGGAGCCCCTCCCACATGTCGCTGAAGCTGAGGAGTCCTGGGATCTCCCCGGGAAAATGGGGAGATATTGAGCATTTAACGGATCAAAATGGGATATAATGCATGCTTAAACTGATGAAACCAGAAATTTTATGGGGATAATGTTGTTGATATCATTAAAATGTCAACCAACAAAATGATTCGCGATAAAATGGCTTTGTTCTTGGCTGTGATACCCCAGGTGAAGATCAATTTCCCTACTTATTCCACAGCTTCCTTGTGCCGGAGAGCGGCAAGTCACTAAATCTTTGAATGTCATGTCATTTAGGTATATTTAATTATGTTGATTTTTCATGTTTTGTGCGATTTGCTGTGGCTGTCTCCACAACCATCTACCAATTCACCTGCTCGCTTCACCAGGGTTTCCATAATGAGGAGGCTGCGAAGACCTCTTTGAGTGCGCCTGCGGTGATCGAGGGCCATGTGTCTCGACTTTGACAGCGGGCAAAGTGTCTGGAGGGTAGGAGATTCCTAAGCGCAAAGAACAGATATATGGAGGTTTCCTAGACTGTACCCCCAAATCATCCATTTCAATGGAATTTTCCATTATAAATTAACCAACTATTTGGCGCATCCCCCATTTGTGGAAACCCCATATATGGCAAACACATATTGCCTGCTTTTGCATGTAGCCTCTACTGCAGTTTCTGAAGGACAAAAGGCCCTACCTCTTTCAACTCAAAACGCGAATAAGTTTGAGTCTCAAGTATGAATTAAGATTCTGAAGATATTTCTTTCAGTGGATTGTTTTATTCTTTTCGGAACAATGCTATACAGAAAACCCTTTCGTTCATCCTCTGTTGACAAGGAAAATGAACAATTCTTTGGGTGTGTTATTTGGAGGTAGGGGAATGATGCGGGTTTGACGCGCACATCACTGTTAAGGAGATGGCGACAGAGGCCCACGGGGAGGCGGCTCATGGAGGAGCTGAGGAGGATGAAGAGGACAAAGAAGAGGAGTTGCTTGACATCAGATGAGTTCGTTTTTTTTGGGAACGCACCAACATTTGATGATTAAGTTGATTTTTCCCACTAAGTTGGCAATTTTTGGGGTGTCCCTTATTTCTTGGACATACCCAAATAGTGCTGAGAGGCTTTATAAGATTTAGCCAGACACAAATTTGAAAGGGGTGTGAAGCTGTCAACGGTAAGGGACCGGGTTTGTCAGTGACAAACCACCAAAGATGGGTAGTCAACCAACCATCCGGATTCCACAAAGAAAACACAATAAGTCAACATAAAAAACCAAGACCCTGGCAGACTGCCCATTTTTTGCAGCAAGATCCATGATCCCATTCAGGTACCTGATGACCAATTCCTAGAGGCAAAGAGACAATGGGGATATGTGGGGATAAAAACTCACAGAGATGTGGCTACTGCTTCAAACAACCAAATTGATCCGATTCATCAGGCATGGTCTGTACTGCAACCTGCTAATGCGGGATACCCAAACCAGAATAGTTTCATGGGGCCGATGGGCAACGGAGATGAAAAGTGGAACAAACATTGTGGTTCAGATTCGGAAAGAATACCAGCTGTTCAGCGAAAGAATAGTAAGGCGATTAAGACCGTGAGAAACAAACACAGGATATTGACTTGCGAGAATTTGGATGAACAGCACAAATGGTACAGTATAACATAACAATCAAACGGGGCACAACAAGCTGTCGATAGCAAGACGGATATAACCACGCCAATGGCATGCTATACAACCACCAAAGACTGGGCAACCCAAAACAGCTACACCTTCAACGAACAAGAGTTGAAGACAAATTGGCTTGTAGAAAATCCACAAGCCATCAAATGGGAACGTGCACCGGTGGCAAAATAATCATTGATTAATAAATATAGGATCAATGGATCAGAAATAAGAGTGAACTCAAAGAAGGGATCTTTGAGACTCTCCAACTTCTGCACATATCCAGATCATCTCAGATGCGCTAATACGACAAGCGGCTTGGGAGCCAGTGTCTTCGCAAAGTATTGTAGGAGCATAAGTCGAAACCAGTTTCTGCCATTGATTATTGATTGAATTAGGCTGTATAACAAGTTATATTTAGTTCATGTCAATTCTACATGTTGTAGAAGTCTGTATTTAAAAGATTTTAAGCGATTTGGTCGTGCTATACACCACCATGTACATTTCTGATTTTTTGGGGATCCCCCTTTTGCCTCGATTGCCACCAACGCGAAAATCCAAAGTCTCTTGGTTAACTTGGACCTACTTGAGGCCAGATGCTGTCACTTGGACAACAGCACTGTTGTTGATTGGTTTCTTGGCAGCTTGCAGCTTGGAGCTCGTAGCAGAACAGTTGTATAAGTAATCGTGCGTTTTGTTTCATGATGTTTTGAAGGACACTTGAGTTCATGATATATATATATATATTATACACTGTCTATTATATATAACTATATATTAGTATATAAGAACACTTACACAATGTCGGTATGAGGTTGATGCTCCATGTTTTTGGGGAGTACTATCTTTAACGGCAACAAGCCACATCTCGATGAGGTTTCCTCATCATTTTCGTGGGGATCCTGTATCTGGTGAACTGCACCGACGAGGATATTCGAGCGGCCACTGGGTCATGATTCATCAGATTTTGGGCCATGAGTCAAGGCATGTCAAGGCATTTGAGAGCCACTATCAAAACTCCTGTTGATTTAGTTGATTACCCTCTGGTAAATTAACAGTTGGACCCTGAAAATGACCAATTTATAGTGGTTTCACTAGTCTTCCAACCCCCATTAATTTCTGCCAGGGTCGTCATGTTAATATAGCAGAGGGTACGTAGTTTATATAGAGGGTTGTACTAGCTGGTTCAGAACGGGGATGATCATAGCCCCACGCTGGGGACACCCAGGGACCTAGACATCCATGGGCCAGAGAGTTGACCTGGGGGTCAAACATTAAGATCTGGGGTACCACAGATTTTTGTCTATCTCAATATAGTTTAATATTATTAATATTAACCATCCAATGATTAGGGTACCCAATTTTGACCCATATCCACTTCATCACTGCAAGTTGCAGTTTTGATCAACTAAGTGATCACTATGATCACTGTTCGCTCATGGCAGCTCAAGTGCTTGGGGAAAAATTGGATAAGGAATTGTATCAGCAAACAGCCCCACTGGTCATCCGGATTGTTTTTCAAGATGTCAAGAGTCAAATTTATCCAGTGGTCAAGAAGGAGCTATGGGTATCCATATTGCCTATTCAATGGGGAGCCGGAGCTACGACTTGAATTTCCCAGTAGAAAAGCAGGTCACAAATGGGGCCTTGAAAAATTCCCGACGGTCACCTTGAGGCCATTTGGGGCATGATCAATACCACCGTCTCCATCTTTTGTGCAGCAACCTTTGACAATGCGGTCTTCAGGCGGGGATACGATACGCCCAGCGCCTAGAACGCTAGTCAGGTGGACATAGCAACAGAGATCCAACGGCAATATGGCTATGGATCAATACCTATTAATACCATTTTTAGGGGAATGAACATCCATTTACCAGCTATTTTGATGTTCACCAGGGGGATAGGGTTTTGACCCATCCCCATATGGCTCAGATTCAGAATGTGTGCGTATGCACCTTCAATCAGACATGGAACTTGAACAAATGGGATCCTGGAGGTGACTGAAAACATCAGGTTCATGGCACTTGTTGGTTTCATGTATTTTTTTGGGGAATACTCCCCAAAACAAATGGTTAAATGCTGACTGAGGGGACTTGCCATGCACACTTTCGTATTCTTAGTATGCTATGTATTATTAAGTACATTTATGTACTGTATATATATAATATATACATATCACATATATATATATATATACATATCATATATATATACATATCACATATATACATAGCATATATATATATACATATCATATATATATACATATCATATGTACATATATATATATATATTGCATGTATAATTATACTTGTAAGAGTTGCATATCAGAAATATCACACAATATCGTATAAGTCACACGCTTTCTGTAATTCTATATTTTGTGGGGTTTCATTGAGTGTTGGTGACTTGCAGGTTCTTCCATTTCCAACTGGTGCTTTCGCCTCCCCCACGTCGGGGCCATAGTTTCGTGACGACGTCGTGACCATGTCATGTCCACCATGTGTGCCATGGTCAGAAGCTATCAAAAATAAACATAGTTAGGAGATGTTAGGAGGTTTGGGATATGGTCATCCCAAAAATTGGGTTTTATGGCTTTCATGGATTTGTCATGTGATTTTTCTTGGGCTTTCTGAGTTCTTGGCACCATGATGTGGACTCCCATGGTGAGATGACCATGGGTCAGGTGGCTTTGGCCTGAAGCACGACACACCGGAGATCAAAAGCACAGTGGGCTGCTTGTCACAGCTTCGGGCCGGCCTTGATTCACAGGTGCTGGAAGAGCATTCAACACACTGTCGTTGTGTGGTCAGTCCGATAGGGCTTGTCATTGGGGACTGGATTGGTCATGGGGGAAATCAATCCATGTCCGATATTCTTATTTTCTCAAGTAATGTCAGCCTGACACGTTTAAAATCTAAAGTCGTGTTCATCGTAGCAACGATGAGATGACATGGTAAAAAACCCATAGGATCCATGGTGCTGGTATATATATGCTAACATGAAGGGGGTATATTGATGGTTATTTTGTATGTAAATGTTACCATATATAGATATATAGCATACATGGATCCTATTGGTATAATGATCCCAGTTTCGTCCAGATCTTTCCGGGATCACAGCTTCAGCTGAGGAATCAGCTTCGCACTCTTGGCGAGCATTTTCTTGCATGTGCCGTGCTTAGATCCAACGTCGACATTTCATGACATCAAACAGCAGTTTCAAGAAGCCCAGTGGGCCCCAGTTGGTTGGTGATGCTATGGGGCTACACTGTACACAATACACTGGGATGCAATATATGGCAATAATATTAAATAATATTTTGATGCTTTTCTCATTCCAGCAGTTCCATGCAGTTCCCAGTATTCTTTGGTGCTTGAGCAAGTGCAACAGGTGAGTCTCTTCAACGTCTCCTCCGACAATCAACAACTGCTGTTTTCCATTCGGACCATCGGCGGTCATGTGCGCCCAGCTGGAAAATCTGCGCGCTAGAGATTGATTTGGATCAAGTAAATTGTCATGAAATTCTTTGCTGATTAATTCGTAAATCTAAACTCACAAACTGATACAAACTGACAATTAGATTTGTGGACCAAGATTGGATTGAGTCCGCTATTTGATATCCTGTTCTCGAGCATGATTGGTTTGAACCCATGGTGACAGAACTGGAAACAAAACCGATGCATTGTTTGCCAGTTGAAGTAGTCTTTGTTTTGCTGCCTGATTTTAGCGCATCCTCATTATACTAGTTTGTGGTTCAGGTCAACCACATCAGTTTGGGTCATTTTGGGTCATTTTGGGTCATTTTGGGTCATTTTCAGCAGATCGCCATAGATCACCATTCACCTTTTCAGGAATACCTTTGGTTACCCTCTGGTAAACTAACATAGCTATTGAAAATGTCCATTTATAGTGAATTTTCCCATGAAAAATGGTGATTTTCCATAGCTATGTTAGTTTACCAGAGGGTAACCGTTTTTTTTTCCACCAGTCACCAGTCGGAACCTGCGCAGGTTTATGCCTTCGCCAGCATCTTGACCTTTGGCTTCCTACAGGAAAGCCATGTCTTTCGGATGGAGCTTTGGAAGACCCTCGTCGACGAGTTTCGACCGAAATCGGTTGATTCGTCAAACAGAGGACGTTGCAGGGACCGGTTCTGTTTTTGCCATGAAATTCAAGGGGGGTTTAGGGACGACATTGAAGATGTCCCGCAAAAAGCAATGCTCGGAAGTTGGGAGTTGCGCTCGAGGGGAGTGGTTCGTGGGGGCTGTGAATCGCAGGAAATTGGACAAGAAATGTGTTGAAGATAGCCCAACTAATAGGACAGTTTGGATCATTCATCCCTCATCAAACAATGGTCCAAAATGCATATGTAATTATGGACCCATTCCCATCTCAATCTATTTTCTCTTAATTGGTTTAAACTTAAACCATTTAATGATTACTGAACCCCCAAATACCGCATGAATATACATATAATGTACACAATCACCCTGAAGTAGATAGAGTATGGACATGCCAAAGATATTCTTATTTCGGTGATTCCTCTTGGAACCTCCATATTCTATGTATTAAGCTCAGGGTGTTAGCTGTCGTCGGCTTGGCCTTCATTGCGCCTTGGCGATTCGCGCATCCGTTACACCAAAAGCCGATTCCAGGCCCAAGGCCTAAGGGTCTTAAATGGAGGTTTCCTACAATGAGGATAATGGGGCTACCCCAATAGTTGGATGGTTTATGAGTGTTTATTTCATGGAAAGTCCGAAAATAAAATCGATGAGAACTGGGTACCCCCCATTTGACGACAATTTCAATGTCAAATATGTCAAATGAATGCTGGAGAATGAGAATCTATCTCTTTGGCATTAACGTAGTGACGTTTGGTCTGGCAAGTTGAATAAAAACATCAACATTTTGGTGTGACCATGCTGATCCTTCCATTGTCAGATTCAGGTTGTTGCGAAGACATGGGCTTGTCTGAAAATATGGCACCCTAAATTCCCACGTAATTCCCACAGATGATCATCATTATCATGTTCATTGAAATTGCCGTAAGTTGGGTTTAATCCCACATGTCTGGACAAAAACCACATTTGCCGTGGTCAAAACATTGTGTATGTTCCCATAAAAGGAGATGATCATCCCTCACTTTAGGGATGAATATCGTTTAATATACCCTGTATACAAGGCATTCCCATTCTCAGAGGGATGACCTGATGTTACCATACCCCAGAAGCATCAGAGGTGATGGTGCTATCCTACCAGATCATTCTTTGGTTGGCCAAGCGATGCATGAGTGCGGTACAATGGCAGGACGACCCCATTCATTTTTTATGGCAGAGTGGGCGGGGTCCAACTGGGTCCATCTCACTGTTTGTCTTTTGGTGGTCCAAAAGTGACCCCAAAATACACTGGTTCATCATGGTTCATCTGGTTCCCAATTCCCCAGCAAGTGGTGCCGCCAGGAATGTCGAGTGCAGCGGGGAATGATGAAGGAAATGCAGCTGGATGCTAGTGCGCCTTGGGACCAACTCTTGTGCGAGAAATGGCATGGTCTTTTGCGGTTTCCTCCAGGATTCGTGGAACATGGGAACAACATGGAACAACGATAATACCTGGGACTAGTCCGATTTTTGTGAGGCCACGTGCTTGGATCTATGGTTACTCGATGCGAAATCTCATGAGGTGATCCTGAAATGGTCAGATTTCCAGTAACGACCGATTTTGAGATTTTGAGAGTGCCAGCTATCCACAGATGGATTGAGTTTTTGTTTCCCAATATTTCATGGTTGAAAACCCTGCGCCTGCGTTCATTCATCTCCAGCCACTTTCTGTCGAGGCTATCTCAATCGGTTTCCTTTTGTGTCAGTCAATCTGTGACTCGGCGCTGCTTCCAAGCTGGATGCCGGATCCAGCAGCGCAGCACAGCTGGCGCAGCTTCGCTGTTGATATTAGATCCAAATTCCATCGGAGGGAATTCAACTTGCCATGGAAAACATTGGAAATGATGGGAAACCCTTTTCTTCATACTCTTCGGTTTCATCAAACGTATAGCTGCTATGGGAAATCCCCTAGACATGGAGTCATGGAGGTTTCATCTTATTTAGGGTCCACCTTGTGTGTCTATCAAAGTTACACTCGTTGAGTCTCGACATGTTTTCACCCATTGTATAGCTCCAATACTTCTTGGATCATGGATCTTTCATTGGGACCAAATTTTAGGATGTTTTAGGCCTATTACTTGGTACAGTTTTCAGACGCTTTTGAACCCAGGATTGAATCAACAGAACATTTGCTGGACCCCCCCCCAAAACAACTCACTGGAGAAAAAAGAACGTGGTTTCCTCTAAATTTTCATGAAAACAACTAAATGATGCTAACAAAATCATCGATTCTCCATTTACATTTCGGTGCTTGGGCGGTGATGTTCAACAGTCAATGACTCCGATCCACTTCAGGCTATTGGTTGAGCGAGGCTCCGTACTATTCTGTGGAGCTGTGCTGGTTGCAAAGACATTACAATGATCCAGCACACTGCAAAGCCAGGATGCTTGTTTGTTCATTCAAATTCCCAGACTGTCAGATCAATGCAGCTCCTAGGAGTGGAGCACATTCTTAACAGGGTGCAGCCAACCTTGTCAATGTTGATATCAAGTTTCTGAAACTGTGCCTGCAGATGGTGACAGAGACAGGCTGAGAAACCATACAACCGCTTCATTCCCATTCTGCACGGCTATCCCAGCGAACAGAAAGAGAACAGTGGGAGAGCTCAGGAAAATTGACACCACAAAAGCGCAGAATTTGCTCAGTGCAGATGCGTTTGCTGACTTAACCTCTACCATTTGTGTATGTGTTTGGTGAGATCCAGGAAATGACATATGTCATGTCAATATGACACCCAGAAGCTTAGAATGTGTTGAGTCTAATCCGAGGGACGTGGCAATGTTGCGACAAAAAAACTGTTGAGGGCACCATACTGAAACACCTTGTTTCTGGGATGAAGGCTGAAGGCAAGGAACCAAGCAACATCAAAGAAATTGTGTCAAAGCAGCTTCCCAATGTTTGACGCTTTTAGAGCGAGTAGCTTTCAGAATCCCTCGACAGTGTGGTTTAAATTCAAGTTCCGCTTCATTCCGCTTCTTTGTCATAGAATGTTTCTCCATTTTTGCATGGGTGCAGGTGATGCAGGGAACATGTTCAGAACGGTGTTCTCATCATGTCCCACCAAGAAAGGCACAACTGTTGGGCTGTTTGGATCAAACCATGCCATTCCATGCCCCCCTGGATCCGTGCCGAGGCTTTGAGATTTTGTGCGGATTGGCAACCACACTCCTAATAGCCTCTGCCACTCGGGGTCAATAGATTGGGATCTGAAATTGGGACCCATTGGGGATGAGAATGGTGAGATGCTGGTTGATGATGGTTGTTTGAGTTGGATTCTGCACCTTTGAAGAGATTTCGATTGGTTTTTGTCGTATACTTTTTTGCCAACGCTCAAATTGGGCAACTTCCTGCATTTCCATGTGAATCGATTGCCAATTGAGTCCTGTCAATTGACTCCTTCATCATTGCGGATCAGTGGCAGGGTGTACTGTAAATGTAATATGATGAACTCTCCGGCAATTTAGCCCAGGAAAATGGACCACTTATAGATTTATACATGATGTTGATATGTTGTTTCTCTATAAAAAGGTAATTTTCCATAGCAAAATACAGCAAAATGGTCATTTTCCATAGTATATCATTGCGTTTCAGTTCCTTGACCATGGCCAGCCTGTCGCAGCTTGGTTGCCGGTAGGACACTTGTTGTATGCAACATGTTGAGTAGTACCGTACAAATTCTGTAACATGCTCGACTGTGTTGGCGAAGTATGCATCTTCGACTGTGTTGGCGAAGTATGTTGTTTCCTGTCGTGGTTTAGGAGCGGTTTACGTGACTTGTCAAAGCATGTCAAAGCTAGTATTGCGAGAGATGCATTTTGCTCATTCTTGCATCTCTCTGCAAGGCTGTTTGGTCCATCTATTTGAGTCTTTCGGCAGCAAGGCGTTGTTTTTTTTTTTAGGTTTCTTTTGGATGACTCATGATGACTCCAATGGAAAAAAATCAAGGCCCATGAGGATCACCCAAGAATTTCACCTGCCAAGGACCGTCAAAAGGTGCCTTGGATTTGAGAGCGGCTGGGAGTGGAGGGAGTTTCTCCATCAGGTAGCAGGCTACATTCGGCTACCAATGACATCAATAAGGATTGTTTCCTGAGTGATGAGTGAAGGGAATCGGTTTGACATGTTTGATCTGAAGCCATGGGCATGTGTTAGAGTCCCGACCAAGGCAAGGATATATGGAATTGTGTAGACATATTATATATAATTATATATATATATACAGACCTTGCAAATATTTGTTTCTTTGCTTGGAACTTGTGGAGAGCAAGTAATGTGTTGACGATATAGTTGCCAAAATGGCTATGCCATTTTGGCTCAAGCTGTTCCCCCTGCAATCCAATACTTTCGAAAAACACGCTCCGATCCTTTTGTTTTGTCCATGGCGGCTTCTAGTCCAGTGGCTAGCGAGACTGGCACCGTGGGCTCCTTCTCGTTGATTGGGACGGAATTGGACGCAGGGGATGATTACATGGTTCTTTCCACCCAGGTGACCGAGGCTGCGCCGGCCGAGGTTACGACAGATATTGAAGATGATCCCGCCATCACCAGGGAGACTCTGGCTTCGCAGCTCCATGAGATGGAGAAAGTGATGGCAAACTTGGGTTTGGAACCCAAGCTGGAGACAAGTGTGGAATCGTCAAGTGGGCCACCCCCGTCGGGGTTCGTTCATGCAGAGGCAAAGATTCAGACCCAGACATCACGGGCCTTAGAGAAGGAGACGTTGACACTCCACATGGATCCGACCACAGAGACCTTCACCATCGAAGGCTGGGCACCTTTGATTCCGGCCCTGCCTCACTCGGCTGCCAAGTATTTCAGAGACATTACGCATGGTGAGCTGCGTTCCCTTTTGGATGCTTTCCGCAGTTCTCCATGGACGGCATCCTTGGTGGTCAAGATCGCAGAGGTTTACCACATTTCGAAGCGCGAGGCTGTCCACACACAGATGTTGAAACTCCGGCACACCACTCAGCGTGGGGGATCCATGGTGAATTTGAAAGAGAAGGACCCTGGAACTTCTCCGCAATTAGTCTGTTCTGATTGCAATGCACCGTGGGGTCAGTTATCCAAATGTTTGCTTTGTCAAGGCTCTCAGCCTGTTGACCTGTCAATGACACCTTTGTCAGTGATTGAGGTGGCCGGCCAGTCCTGGCAACTTAGGCTCACTGAGGCGGGACCGACTTGGGTCCCCACAGATACTAAGGTTACTAAGGCCTCAGGCTTTGTGGAAGTGGGAGATCTTGGCCGACCTCCCCCTGCGGCAGCTTCGGGCGCCGATACGGGGCTGGTTAGCTTTTCGGAGCAAGTTCCTGCCTCCCAGCGCATGACACTGCAGCAGCACGTGGTGGCTTTTGGGCAGGACGATATCTTTCATCCAGATGGCGAACGCCCCCCCACTATGGATGATCGAGACTCTACTCAAACTGCTGTGATCTTCCACCCCAAGACCATTGAACTGATGCGTTTCAAGGTGGACTTGCTGGCCACCCCAGAAGAAGAGCTTACGGAAGCGGCACAGGAGGCCAAGCGGAGGAAGAAGGAAATTCAACACCAGCAAGAGACTGTGGCGATGGATGATGAGCTGCATACACTGACTGCCATCCAGCAGGGTGCACAGGAAACCCAGAATCCGGTCAGTGCCAAGATGCTCCGCCACGCTGACCTCCAGCAGTTCAGGTCCTACCTCAAAAGAAAACATGAAGAAAGTGGCCTCACCTCCTCCTACGAGGCTTTGGTGGCGGCCCAAACCACACAGGAGAGAGCGGCAGCCGCCAACAAGGCACTGGACACAGAGTTCAGGGATCGACGCAAGGCCCTCAAGCCCATTGAAGTGGCGTCCTTTTCACTGTGGACACCGGCCCTGCAAGAAGCATGGCAGAACAACCTCTTCGCGCCGGCCATGGGCCCTCAGGGCCCGGAACAATTCGACATGGAGGCACTGAAGCAACCCTACCTCCGAATGAAAGAACTCATCAAGGATAACAAGCCTCCGCTTTCCCAAGACCGCCTCATGACGGAGTTCCCCAAGACGCAACTCGACATGTACACCACGGGGACGGAGATGATATCTTCCCAAGAGGCCCAGTTAGCACGACTCCTTCCGCCGGACAGCCTGGAACGCAAGTACGCAATCCTTGACTCCATCTTGCAGTACCACAAAGGTGAAGTCAGAGCCTGGGGCGGAGAGTGGGAACTGCGACAGGGCCCGCTCACGGCACCTGCCTGGGCGAAACCGGCACCCACGACTGAGGTCTTGGCTTTGGAACTCAGGACAAACCCGCTGGGCACCTCCTTCTACACGCCCACAACCTACACAGAACAGGTGGTCCTGCAACAGATTTCCGAGGGCAAGCGACCCGCCTTGGACAAGATCATTGGCTTCTTCTGGGCTCCGGGGACGGCGGTAGCTTCTGGCACCGACGACACCCACCTGGTTCGGAGGGTGCAATCATGGGACCTTCCTTCAATGATCACGATGCTTGGACAGTCCTGGACGTTCAAGGAGCTCTACCAGGCTTGGTGTGGTATGCCGCTGATCGTCAAACCGATGCGCAGAGGGCATGGGGAAGGCATCCGCCAGAAGAAGGTGGCAGAGTTGGCGGCACACCGGCAGAGGACTTCAGAGATCAAGTCCTTCCTCACTAGTGTGGGCCTCCGGTTTCCCCAATCACAACATGAAATCAAGCTGCTCTACAAGGAAATCGGCAGCTTTTTGGCTGCCTCGGTTTTCTTAGCCAGAACCCCAGCGGTGGTCTTGGACTTGCCCGAGCAGGACATCCAGGACACAAAGGAGCAGCTCCGTTTTCGAGCGGTTTGTGATGAGCGCATCACCTTGCCCTTGGGTGCTTTCAGGCAGCTCCCGGACGTCTTCCAGGCGCTGTCAGCCACTCTGGGGGCCCACAGCATGGTGCAAGTGCAAGTTGCCTGGCGGTGCAACTGTGAGCTATGGTGGGTTGCCCTGGTTCCCCATGAGAAGGCGGAGAGCTTTTATTGCCGTCTGGGCTACTCCCAGGCAGAGATTGATGGCTTCCTGAAGACTGCGCTGGAACCGGAGGCTCTGCAGGCGACTACGGTAGCTTCGGGCACCGGTAAGTACCCAGAGCTCTCCTTGGAGAACGTGGTGTCCATATGCAGCCCCAAGTACAAGAGGGAGCACTACGGCCACCGGGGAGTCCATGCCTTTTGGGGCCGCACGGATTGCGGGCTCATCCTCAGCAGCATCAGTCCATGGGAACTGAAGACGAAGGAGGCTGGAGTGACTCGTGGAGGATGGGTCTGCAAGGCCTGCCAGGGCTTTTGGCGACAAGGGAAAGGAGCTTCCCGCTTTGTCCAATTGCTTGGAGAACACCGGGGAGTCAAAGTCAATCTCCAACTCATCTTGGATGAGCCACCCCAACAGCTGTATAACAGCTGGGTGAAGTCAAGGCTTGAGTACTACAAGCGAGTGGAGCCGATTGCGGCCCCGCGAGATGTGGCCTTGCAAGTTGACCCTGACCACACCCAACGCTTGAAGTTTTCTTGCCAGAATGGCCATGCCAATGTCTCCAACGCCATTTGGTCGGTCCTGCTGAGCAACCCTGACCTCGAGGGCCTGCAGAAGATCAACGCGCTGGCAGCGAGCAGAGTCCGGCCTGCCTGAGAGTAGAGTTTTTGCGAAGGGCTGTTTTACTGACCTGGTGGCCTGGTAGCGTCTTGCACCAACGTCACCACTCGGTTCTGCAGACACCTTCTCCTTTTGTATGAATATCATTGGTTGCGCACCACGACAAGGGCCAAGACAGGGGCCAGACCGCTGGGATGCCAGCTCACACAGTGAAAAAGGGAAACCTGCATGTGGCTGCCTCAGAATCATTTACAGCACGCTGCTATTTGACCATTGCTGTGTTTTACCATGTTTGACCTTGGTTTGATGTTTTTGGTATCCTTTCGGGCTCCGCCCATTACGCTGATGTGACTGATGTCCATGTGACTTGCACTCAGTTCTGTCCAATTGCAACTCGGATAGTTTTTCCTGGGCTTTCGGTGTTGTTCTTCCAGCTTGCTTTTTCATGTGTTAGTGCTCCGCACACCCGCAGTACCCTTTTGGGCCAGGCTTGGCCATAGTAGAGTCGGGACATCATGGAACCCGATCTTGTGCGTAGAACACCTTTTGGCCTGGCAATGGTTCGGCTCCCGGAACACATGCGAGATAGCCTGCTGGACCATGGAATTTTCCCCACACAAACGGAAGGGGAGTTGTTCATGCAGCTCTGCATGCAACAAGTGCCACCGGACCATCCGGAGGCCATGGATGGGGGAACCTGGACCTCTCGGGTCCACCCCAGCAATGACATCGACCCAATGAACGTGGCTCACAGTAACTCCATGATGGTGGCTACCACGCCCTGGATGGAAGACTTTGTGGCAGACTGCATGAACCGGGTGCCACAACCAGCGCCCCCAGAAGAAAGAGATAGGACCTACGATGCATGTTTCAGCCTCTTCACTTTGATTGCGGGCGCACCAGATTCAGCCTTCCACACACCCCTTCAACAGCAACAGGAAAGTATGGACCGGGCGAGATGGCGAGCCTTTCATTCACGGCCTCCCATAATGGCCATTGTGGAGGCCAAATGGCGGCACTGGAAGCCTGGGCGACTCAAGGAAGAGTCGGCGACAACCCAAAGGAAGTTAGAGCTCCACCTCAGAGACCGCTGGGCAGAAAGGATCATTGGGCTCCTTCTGCCCTTTGCCAAAGACATCCCTTACCTCCATGCGGTCCACGGGGACAATGTTCACCAGGAATACTTGGACCTCCTTGGAGACACCAGGTTCAGGACCTTGCGTATTCATTGCCTTTGCTTTGAGAGCATCCAGAAATTGGGCTTCAACACAATTCCT